GTCCATCGAAAGGTGCAATCACGCGGTCATAACGGGCTCAGAATTTGCAGACGATGACTTCGCTCTGACGTCACTGTCCGCTTCTTTCCCCGTGACGCAATATGTGGCTTGCGCTAACTGAATGGCTAGAACACCAGATATATATGTCCCACAACTCTAGGCACTTTACTGTTCGACCAAATTCGCGACGTAGCTCGGACGGTCGGCTTACCGACTAATTCCGATTGCGTACTTGCAGTGGTACATAGGCTGTGGCCTCTTACGCACTACGGGACTGTAACTGGTCCTGTTTGGTAGACCCAATCTTAACGGAGTCGTGCTAGAGTGTTCTGATAGATGCTTTTCAGGGCTAAAATTGATATTGAATGCCACCTTCCCTCGTTAAAAAATGCACCTTGAAACTCCCATGATTGAATGTCCTGGATGGTAAGCTGTACACCTTGGGTCAGAAACTTTCTGAATATTTCCATCACTTAAGCTTTTTTTTGTTTTATTAAACTCTGTCCTCGGTATTGACGGACCTTCAGCAGCTGCATCGTTCAGGTTGCGTTAAAGTTAGCTTACCTGACCTCCCTTTTAATACCCGGACGTCCTCTGCTGAGCGGCGGTGCCAACCGACGTGCTCCTCACACCAGAGACCGGGTAGCAAGTAGATCGGTGTCCTAGCTGCATGGAGGCAGCTTCTATCCCCTCGATACAAGTGTGTCCAAATTAATCGGGCTCGCCATAAAATGAAAGTAAAATGTCTGGAGGCCTGTCGTGGCACGTGTCCCGGCGCGTCATTCTAACACCGGAAGTCCACTTCCCATCCTGATCAGCTGATCGGTCGTGGGCCCGTGGCCCGACCCGAACAACGACGTAACTTCCGAGCAGAATCCGCGCAGTTGCGGGCGTTCCCTGGCACCGCCACCGCCGCCAGGCCCTGCGGTAATCATAGGTTTCATTCAAAAAATTCCAAGTGGTGGCGAACGGCGTTCAATAGCTCTGCTCCGTCTCCAAGAGACATGTATCAGATCGGGAGGGAGTGCAATGCCGCCTATTCCTTGCAAACCAGAAGCTGGAATTGTTACGTCAGGAGCTGCTGGCCCAAGGCAGACCGAGCCGAGTCGGAGCCGAGTGGGAGCCGAGTCGGGGCCGGGCCCGGTCGAGCCCGGCGCCGCCGCACCCTGCCAGGGCTGAGTTCTACTCGCCGACCCTGTTCCTGAATTTAAATCGACCATCTTCGCGAGGCCCGCGTCATTCTGTGGCCACTTCGTGTAGACGCTCAGAGAATAAGCACGAAGATTTAATGTTTTAAGTGATGTTTGTTTAACAGTTGCACTGACAAGAAATAATTTTATATGTTTCATGAGAGAGTTCAATATTTGGTTTCCATACTGTGTTTAAGATTTGGCCAGTATTCCCCACACGGTGCGCTGCACTTAAGCGTGCAACCAGCCACGCGGCAAACAAGCGGACCCGGCATGCCAATGACAGTCTGAAAACAAAACACGTCTCTGTTCAAAGTAAATATTATAAGGATTACCCAGAAAACAGTGTTCACTGCTGAATTATCAACATCCATTGATGATCACTGATTTATTAGTGTACATATGACCTTCAAACTGATAAATCATCGCTTATTATGATCACGTTAAGGTAATTTGGTAACATTTCCTTTGATCCAAGAAAAAGGATGAAATTCCCAGTTTCCTCGTAAAAATATCGTAGCCAGCAAGCCAGCTACCATGCCGGTGTGATCCTCAATAATTGCTTGATAATTTAGCAATACACTATTCATTTATCACGGTAGAGGTTCCTCAATATTGGCGTGATCTTATACTGACCCCAAAATACTCTTGGGAATGCCTTTTATTGTACCAGATCGTAGAGTGAAAGCACGCACAATCTGCAAAATTACGAGGAGTACTGGCTGATGACAAACATTTTCCACTGTCAAATAATCAATATGAGATGAAATCAATGTGTGTCTACTGGAAAGCTTCTGCCTTTCGTCCTCGGAGTCACATTTAACAGTTTAGCAGCGTCGCTGAATGGCGGACGATAATCGTCGCGAGGCTCGTTTCATAAGGTCGGCGGATCGAATCCCCTGCGTCGAGACAAAAAGAAGCGCGACGCGTCATTTAGGCAGAAAGGTGACGCTGATCGCCACGACCGAGCATAAACGACTGATGCGACGGACCCCCCTCTTCCCACGCCCCTCCAGAGGTCCACGCCCAGCGGAGCCCAGCGTGTGACGCATGCCAAACGGAGCCAAGCGGAGCCAAGCGGGGTGGCCTTGGTGACCTCCTTTGGGGCCCGGCTGTGGTGGATGCGCCGCTGCACCGTGCCGAACACGTTCTCAGCAAACTTAACTGCGACGTGTACCGACGTTTGGGATAATGCAGAAAGGGGGTAAAGAAAAGCCTTTGTACAGCATTGAGGAATGTCAGCTGTCATAAGTTCATGATTTAACGTGAACATTTGTGACATGACAATCCTGAAACTAAAGAACGAAAAATGTGAGGAGGACAAACGCTCGAAAAGGCGTGCTTTCTTCCTACCGCTGTGTGAAGTCTGTGTTCGAGCCATGGCGCTCCCCCCTCCACCCTCTCCACACGAAGAGGAAGGGCAAACCTATTGAACGAGACCCTGGTGGCTATGCCCATGGCCCACTCTCTACTTAGTGATTATAGTATTCTAGTTTCGGGGTACAAATGAAATTTTTGTTTCGGTTTTACTCCTTCAAACGAACCAAACGTCAAACAAGTCCACTAAATTCTTACTCACAAAAATATATTATTCAGAGGGGTTTGAATGTAAAAGTCGTTCAAAGATCCGGGACTCATCCGTAGCCTACTTAAAAACGTTTAAAACGAAGTGAATGCAAACATGTTTCTTTTTGTCTGAGAAATCACACTTGCACCGTAAAATACATACGTGCTCGTGGATGTACAACATAGTTATTAGCAATTTACTTTTCACAAAATATGATGTTCACGTACAACATTGTATTGTTGTTCATCAATGGATTTCAAAGTGCTTATAAATATACAATGTTTGAATTGCAAATGTTCGACGCCTTCCGTCGAAAATTTCCTGTTCCCTGCGTACAAAAGTTTCTCACAGTGAGCTCCTCCAGATTTGAATGTCTACCCGAGTACGACCTTCTGCACGTCTGCTGCGTATTTTGCTAGGTGCTTTTGACGACGGCTGGTGACAAGCACATCGCTTACGTTTACCAGTGGAGAGTGTACGGCACGGGAGGAGCCTGGATCAGGGCGACTTTGAGCGACCTTGTTTCCCGCTAGAGATGGCCCCCTTCCCTCGCCCTGAGCCGGCTCACCGGGCCAGGCTGCCTGCCTGCGGGACCGGCAGCTTGGCGCCTCCGCTGCGCGCC